ACAGAGGGAAGCTATGGGGCGGGTGTCGGAGGGTGAGATAAGTTGGCGCGTCTTAGTCAGAGGGAGGAGTAGGGCCCTCTTTCACAAAGAGGGAAAATGCGAGAGCTGAATGAGACTATTGAATAAAAGGGTAAGGAATGGTAGAATGATTATGAGGGAGAGACGTAGCATTTTATTAGACAGACCATCATGACCCACTGCCTTTGACGACGATGAGGTGATTGATTGATGAACTTCCTCTGACGATGTGGGCTTGAAACTGAAAGGGGGTGTAACGAATTCTGATGACGGGGCGTCGGCAAGAAGCTCATGTAAATCATTTTGAGTGAGCGGTGTTGTTGAAGCTGTTGCCGAGGTGTATGTGGAGATGAGTGTGTCTGGGGAAAAAATCTGGGTAGGCGTTGGTAGGGTAGGGCTAGTGAAATTGAGTTTACGAAGGGTGGGCCATTTTTCTTTCGGATTTGAAGATGAGTTGATAAGATGGGCGAAGTAAGAGTTTTTGGCTGTTGAGAGGGTGTTTGAGACCCCGCTGCGGAGACGGCGATAGATCTGTATTTCAGACGGCAGCCCCGAGCGCCGGGCGTCACGGTATGCGTGATCTCTTGCCAACATCATGGATCTTATTTGCAGAGTAACCCATGGCTTTCTTCGCGACGAGAGGGTGATCTTCCTAATTGGCGCAAGACCGTCGAACGCTCCAAGTACCGCCACCGAAAAGCGCTCCGTGATGTTGTCCAGCGAGTTAGGACTTAAGTCGTTAGTGAGCGTGGTCAGGGATGGCAAGGAGGCGATGTTACGGGAAGAGAGTGCTTCAGTGTTGATATGCTTGAGGTTACGCGCTGTAATGATTTTTGAGATGGGTGGAATCTGAATATAATGGAGGGCAACTTCGATCCAGTCATGACCAGCGATGAATGGTGATGCGGACTGTTGATGGTGAATAAGTGCTGAGGGGTCTTTAATGATGAAAAGGTCTATCCAGGTATGAGATGGGTTGTTACGATAAAAGGCGTGGTGTGTCGGATTGGATGGAATGAGATGGAGTGAGCTTTCAGCGATCTTAGTGGTTAAAAACTGGGATAAGAAGGACGACGTGAGCATGTTAATGTTAAAGTCTCCTGTGATGACAATATTTGAGTAGGCAGGCAGATGATCAGAGAGTATGTCGAAGAACTGGTGAGGTAAAGCAGCTGAAAGGCGGCGGTAGACTATGGCTAGTAGAGTTTTGTGGGCAGCTATGGATAATTCGAGTATGAGAAATTCTGGTGTATTATCGAAGTCTGGAACTAAGCTTGCAAGGATGGTGGTCTTGAATGCGTCACGAATGTAGGCACCAACGCCCCCCCCCCTCCTTCCCCTCCCTGTCCACGCGAAACAAAGAATAGCCCTCAAGGCCAACAACTGCATCCGAGGTATCCGATGTAAAAAACGTTTCTGTAATGGCTATGACATCCGGTGATCTATCTGTGGCTAGAAGCTCTAGTTGTGTATGGTGTGCATGGTTCAGTCGGTTTATGTTAATGTGGATGATGCGGATGGAGTTTGAGTTTTGACTATTGCGGGTAGGCAAGTGTGAAGGAGCTAGTCATTGTCCCAGCTGAGGGGCCTGCGGTGACAGGCGAGCAAGGTCCGCCTCTGAGCTGATGGGCACAAGGTCTGCCATGCGATTCGGCCGCATAAAGATCTGCAGGTTGCGAACCACCGGAGGCAGATAATTGAGGCGACGCTGAGCCTCCCGGGCCTTAAGCAAAAGGTTGAAAAGTGGTGCAGGCCAGAGAGGACGACAAAAAATGGGTGTGTTTCCCCCCGACCTGAACAGGTCCTGGGCCCTAACGCCCCTCAAGCGGTAAGACTGCGAGACAATGAGATCGCGAACGACGCGAACCCGAGCTGTGGCGAATTCAGCCACCAATGAGAATGGCTGCGCTGCTCCCGTCGCGGTCGCCTGGGTGGCACCCACAGGGGCAGCCTGGGTCGGGGCCCTGCCGATCCATGGTCTGATCCGGACGATGAGATTTGCACAGTCCGGCAGCCCAATGGCCTCCAGGACTCTGATCACGTATGGACGGTACTGATCTGGGGGTGATGGCGGAAGACCAATAAAACGGATTTCCAAGGGGTCAGACGTCGAGGCCCCGGCTTCAAGGGCGCTGAGACGGGTTTCATGACTATTCACTGTGGTCATCAGCTCGAGGTTGTTGCTTGTATAAATCGCAAAAAAGCTACTAAACCAGGCTGGGGTGTCAGACGGTAGTGTGGGAGGCGTGGTGTTCATAGTGGGGAGAGAGAGAGAGAGAGAGTTTGGGTTGACGAGACGAGGTGTACGAGAGACCACGAGGTGCATGGGAGGGCCGCCATTTATCGTGCGTGTTGTCGTGCATTAGGGTAGATAGTAGAGTAGAGAGAAAAAGAGAGTGTGTAGTCGAGTAGAGAGAGAGAGAGAGGGAGAGAGTGTATAGCAGTGTGAAAGATTGGGGACGGAGTGTGCGTTGTAGTGTGGGTCGAGGACGAGCAGGAGCCAGGAGCCCCTCCTGGTCCCGGACCAGCAGGACGTGGTGGACGAGCGCTCGCGGCTCGCAGGTTGTGAGGCGGAGTCGCTGTAGCGCCGTCCACAAGACGAGGTGAAGCATTGTGTCGTGTATTGTGAAGAGAGGGAGACTGTGTACTAGTGTTAAGTGTTTCATAAAAGAAATAGTGAAAAGTATTTGTTGTGTGTAAATTAATAGTTCTTCTCGTAGAACGGGAGAACTCCCGCGCCAATCCCCCTTTTTCAGGAGCAGAAACCCAAGAGGTGAGAGGGACAACGGTGACGAACGCGATCGAGATTTGCTAACGCTGCGTCGGCGCCTCTTTTCGTTTCAGGTCAAGAAGCAGTGTTACAATTTACAATATGCCATCGTGTTTGCTTATGTATAAATATTTTTACGTGAATGAATAAACGGTCAAACATTTTTCTATCGTAGGTAGGGTATGCTCTGTACATTTCACTCAAGATAGTGACGAGAAAAAGCCAGAACACTTAATCGTCCCTGGTGTTACAAATATATTTGTTTTATCCAAATCAGCTGTTCCAACAATAAAATTAGATTCCATATACGTACAGGAGACACTAAATTTTTTTACAGGATTTTTATTTATCTAGGAAATAATTTAATCTCATGTAGTAATCTCAGATGTGCAACTAAAAGAAAACTACAGCTTGGAGCCTCACTGAATACAGCAGCCTTTGAAACATTGAAAGGTCTATGATGTTTTTAACTATTGTTCTACATAAGTAATGATCCTTTGAAAATATTATCTAATACTAAAGTTAATTTGTTATCAATTTTTTAATATTGATTTATTTTTGTTATTGCATAGCGGGCTGTTTATATTTTTATAACGGGATGAGAACATTTACAATTAACCAAAATTCATTCATTAATTCAAACAAAATTATAAGACTTATTAATGATTTTTTTTACCATAAATACGTTCATGACTTACTTCTAATAATTCCTCTCTTAAATCCAGCTATAATTAATTTGTATTGTCTCATCATTATTCGATATAACTATTAAATGATATTTTCTCGATTTGCGCCATCACACACCTAATAATATTATCTCTATGGTAGTTACCCATGATGTACGTAGATAAGGTGTGTGATGGCGCAAATTTCCGATGAGTCCGAGTCTCTCCAATAGCGTGCCTCATCCGCAATTCCGCACATCGTCTATGTTTGGATTTGAGCCAATCTGAATGTAGCGGTATTTCAAAAATATGTGATTGTCACTGGTTTCAAAAAGGTTTTAGCTTACATTACAATGTTAAAAGTTATGCTTAAAAATTGTTATTGAAAACGAGAAATCATCATTCAACAGTTATTTCGAATAGTGATGAGACAATAAGAATTAATTATTGCCGGAGTTAAGAGAGAAATTATTTAAAGTAAGTCATGTACGTATTTATGGTAAAAAAATCATCAATAAGTCTATTATAATTTCTTTTGAATTAATGAATGAATTTTGGTTTATTGTAATTGTTCTATTCCGGTTATAAAAATATGAACAGCCCGCAATGCAATAACAAAAATAAATAAAAATTAAAAAATTAATAACAAATTACCTCTACTATTAGATAATATTTTCAAAGGATCATTACTTATGTAGAACAATAGTTAAAAACATCATAAAGGCTGCTGTATCCAGTGAGGCTTCAAGCTGTACTTTTCTTTTAGTTGCACATCTGAGATTACTACATGAGATTAAATTATTTACTAGATAAATAAAAATCCTGTAAAAAAATTCAGTGTCTCCTGTATGTATATGGAATCTAATTTTATTGTTGGAACAGCTGATTTGGATAAAACAAACATATTTGTAACACCAGGGACGATTAAGTGTTCTGGCTTTTTCTCGTAACTATCTTGAGTAAATTGTACAGAGCATACCCATACCTACAATAGGAAGAATGTTTTACTGTTTATTCTTTCGTGTAAAAATGTTTATATATAGGCAACCACGATGGCACATTCTTCTTACTTGATTTCTTTGGAGAGATTTCACCTCAGATTTTGACATGAGAAATCAGGTGAAATTACAGGTAAAATTCATTAACAGAAAAAAGTGATGACCTGATGGATGAAGTGCTTCCCGGTGTTCAAATAGAAACTTCAAGTATTTTAGTATTATTAGTTACAATGATGGTGCTTCATGCAAACTGTCATGTGGTGACTATTTTGTTACTCACTTTTATTTAAGTCACAACTATTCCAGCATACCACACTACTAAGGTAGCGCTCAAATATCCTTGAGACATTACTAGTGTATCGTAAAAAATTCGGTTTTAAAGAATATGATGAGACTTTCTTATCATAATTTATGTATTAAATTGAAAAATGAATTTCTTACATGAAGGTGTAGAAATTGAAATTTCTTTATAAAAATATATAAGTAAAGACATAAAGTTATTAAAAACTGATTGCAAATGCAAATAGTATGTCTTGACAATCAGTAAACCTTAAATTGAGATGTTTTTGTATAGTTTTCAGCAAATTTCTTTCCACTTGGTGTTGGTGCAGAGAAAGCAAAGTCTTCTAGAGACATCATGTAACCATAGTAGAATGTAGCTCTAGAATGAATATTTTATTCTTAATTTTGAGCACTTGTAGAACATGTAGAAATTTTAAATTACCTTAGGGTATCAACAAGTTTTGTGGCTATGCCTTGTCTACGATGGCTCAGCGCTGTCCAAACAACATTTATGCCACACTTTACAGCGCAAGTTTCAGATGTACAACAATTCAACTCACTTAATTCAGGTATCATACGAAACGCTTTTTCTGCAGACTCTGCTACTAAAATTCCTAATATAGTTTTGTCTCTAATGTACATATACACCTTAAAGTTAAACATGTTTGACAGTTTTAGAATAATTCATGATTTTTGTCACCAAGTCTCAATTGTTAGTAATTATAGTAATTACCCGTTTGTCTCTGTAACAAGAAAGTTTTGTGTCGGGAAGTCCTAAATCTTGATCAACAATTTCTAATATTTCATTAACTTTTTTCCAATATGAATTAGAATCTTTGGATTCCACTAAGACTATTCGACTGGAACTGTAGGTATCAGCATAAACCACACGTTCATTTTTCCAACCCTATTGGTTAATAGGATTGTATTAATATTCAACACTATAATTTAATTTCATACACAAAAAAACTCACCTGAAATTTCAAGGTTTTATAACTATTGTGATAATTCAAATGGGCATTCTCATCATTAAGATCACCAACATAATAAACTATTCCACATTCTTTACATTGAGTGGCACCAAAATTTTTTTGACCAGCATCGATTTGGTATTGATTATCTGTACAGTTTTGTTTTGAAGACAGTAGCCAAGAAAACGTATTTCTCTTGCGTTTTCTTGAAACGTTTTGACTGAAGAAAAAATAAAATTGTGATAAATGAAATGTTTTTAAATAAGTAATAAAGTCATTTTAAACCAAAAAACCTTACACTGTATAAGCTTCTGATAAAATTTTTTTCGAAAATAATGGGTACAAATCCGTAACCGTCATTTTTGCTGTAGTGCTAGAAATTTTTTTTTCCATTTCATTATTATTTTGGTTTTCTACTGAGGCTGGGAGATCTTCAATGTTCATACTGGAAGTCATATTGCTGAGTTCACTGCCAGGAGACATACATGTATTTCCTGCAATAGTGTTTGATTTATCCTGATATGAAGTCCTAGGGCTAAGATTATAAACAGATTCGCTGGCATCATTATACACATTATCAGTCCAGTCATCTTCCAATACTTTTAGAATATTGTTGACTTTGCTTTGTTTAAGTGACTCTTCAATGTTGGGATCATCAACCGTCAAATCAGTGGTGTCAAATAAAATTCTCTCCAACTTTCTTTCGTTGTACAAATGATCAGAATCTTTGTCCTTGATTGAAATAGCATTTTGTGCAAGAGTGAATTGATTGAGCTTTTTTTTATTATTCACGTCTTTAATTGATGGTTTAGTATTGTATACATTAGTTTTTAGAAACAAGTTCTCTTTGTGGACTTTGCTTTTAACGACTTGATCAGTTTTCGTCTGTTTCTCATTAAGCTGTGTTAATTTGTTTTGAAGTGTCTGTCGCTTAAATTTTGGCTTTTTAACAGCATGCCACACACCACAATTTATTTCCCCTCCCTTGTGCTTTTTTGCAGACTTTCGATAAGACAAATGAGATGTGGGCGATATTTTCCGTTTATTAATTTTTTTTCCCTGTTGCTGCACAGGCTCTCTCCAACCCAAGAAGTCATACTTTCGCAATGTCTCATTGTTAGATTTATAAAATGACTTTGCAGTCAGGGTGAAGGCGGGTCCTTCGGCTTTATTATTCCTTATGCCTTCCACCTTAAGCTTCGAATCTCGAAACAGGGCAGCCCTGGCCCTAGGCACCGCCATTAACACCTTATCGCTTTTCTCCGTCTTGGAGCTTGAAAATCGGACTGAATCATCCAGCAAGCACCTCTTAAAGCTGCATTTCTTGATTTCAGGCGATGTACACTCATCTAATGGTTGATTACCCGTCATTCCAACCGACTTCCTCCTGTGCAACTTTGGAACAGCTGCATTGTTGCACTGCGAGCCAATAGGTGTGATCATTCGATTTTCACGGATTGCTTGAAACTGCGTTTGTAACTGTTGATGCTCCTTGGTAATCTTACAGGGCGTCTCTGGGACTACATCATCATCGTTCATGTCGTCACTTACAGAGATAACAGGGCAACGGTTACGCGTTAGTTCACGGCTCCAATTAGTTAGTGGAATAAGTGGCAACTTTTCAGGTGTTGGCAGAGGGGACACAAAGTGTCGACCGGGAGAGCTGTCACAACTGCTTTGGTCTGTCAGGACCAGTGGTGACATGGGACCTAGGTCTGAATCCACATCTTTGATATCTGAGACATTATTAGCTTCCTCACAGGACTTCTCTTGTTCCCGGAAAAGGCTGCGTTTGCTCGAGCAGTGTGCCAAAATGTTGTGGTAACTCTGTCCAAGGACATGATGGGGCATGACAATTAAGTCGTTCTTCTGAATCACCTGTTTCGTAAAAAGTTTCTTAAGGAGAATCAGTGAGTTTCTTAAAATGTAAAAAAAGCAACAACACCTTCAATAATTATTAAATATTTAAGAAGTCAAGAATTTATCAGAAATATTATATTTTCCACCATTGATTTTGGTATCTATTAAATATCGCTGTCTGTTCGCACCTATCAAAAATAGGCCTCAATTCATGGCAGTTCTCAAGAGCTTGCATTAGGAATTAAAAATCACATCATTAGGGATCAATAAAAAAATTCTGGTTAAAAATATAGAAAAACTTAATACGGTACCCTAAAACTAAACAGTTATTACTGAAAGTTCCACTGCACTCTCTGCAATATGATAAAATCACGAAACCTCCATTAACTTTAAGCAATTAGCTAATACTAAAGTCATTAGTTTTTGGCTTTTTAATTTTTTGTAATTACGGTTCTTACCTTGCAATAGATTATAGATATAGGAATAATATACTATAGAGCATAAAACATAAATACAAAATGAATCAAGCGAAGAAAATGTCAAACGATCTACTTAGTAAGTTTTATAAGTATTAAATTAAGATCTCAAACGGCGGCCACTCGAACTGTATGAGCTGAAGTAAGCCCTTAGAGCATACATGCTTTAAGAGTAAGCCTAAGAAAAATTACAATGAAAAATAATTAAAAACAATTGATTGCCAGTAAGGTATCAAGTATAACATATAATAAAATTATTTTTTGGCTAGCAATCATAATCAATTTATTTTAGCAAAATTCTACGTATGTAAATTATTTATTATTAGGGCCACCATCACACGTTTCCAAAAAAGAGGTGCGGCGGATTGTGGATACTTAGGCTGCAGTCATATGGAGCGCAATAGAGCGAGCACTCGAGCAGGGGTGTAATCCGCAATCGCCGCCAGCAGTTACGTATGTAAGACGTGACAACGTTGCGTGGTTGGGGGCGCTACTGTCGATTTACTGGTGATGTAATCCGCAATCCCGCCAGCAGTAAAGCAGACAACGTCGGTCTACCTACTTACTCTTTTTCGTGACATTTTTGCTGTGATCCCGCGCAATCCCGCTAGTAGTAAAGCTGTTATTTCCATTTTTCTTTTTGGCACTTGAAACTATTTTTTTTGGTCTGCGTGTTTGTTTACGTCTAGCACAATATACTTTGTTTACAATCAGAAAATGTCACGAAAAAGAGCAAGTAGACCGACGTCGTCTGCTTAATTGCTGGCGGGATTGCGGATCACATCACCAGTAAATTGACAGTAGCGCCCCCAACCACGCAACGTTGTCACGTCTTACATATGTAACTGCTGGCGGCGATTGCGGATTAGTACACCCCAAGATAGAATTGTCCCCATAAGCGGCTGTATTAAGTCTATTGCGCCGCGCAATAGGGCTATCATGCAGCACAATAAACTTAACACAACCGCTAATGGAGAAATTCCTATCTTGCTCGCTCTATTGTGCTTCATGTAATTGCAGCCTTATCAGTGTGTCAAAAACTTCTCCACTCTTTCTCAGTTCGACTCGTGCAGATCGGCTTATACTTACTAGGTTTGTTCTAAACCCCTTTTGGTTCGGCCCGGTTCTCTTAGAAACAGAACCAGTTCACAGTATACAGTTGCGACACTCCATAGAAAAAGAGCGTTCAGAATTTCCAGTCGTTCGGCGCTCTACAGAACATGGCGGCCTCCTCTCTAATACACAAACAGTTGTCTGCTATGTTTGTTTACATTTGATCTTGTGAATATATTTGACAGATACTTTTTGAAAATCACCAGAAGCAGCTTTTTCTTATTAAACTATTGGACTTGAATAAAGGAACAAAATCTAATGGAATGATATTTTTTTATATTATATGCACTCTGATAATTTTTACAAGAATCTTTTTTATCGAGTATCGATCATTCATTTTACTTACATTAATTCACTTTATTATTTTTTACATTTTACTTTTTTTAGAAATATTTTTATATGATTATTTGATTTTTATAAAGTTTTTTTAAAGTTATTTTTTAAGCACGTAGGCTATTTACTATCTACGTAAGTACAATTTTTATGATATTTTTATAAAATTTAAACATGATTCTTAAACACTTTAAAATGTATTCCTCATTTTTTCATGATCGATGAAACTATTATAAAATACATACACGTGTATATTAGAATGCAATCAATAAATATTTTACTACATTTATAAATTGAAACTCATTTACACGATCCCAGACATTATTTCCTTCAAATCTCGGCGGGTGGCGCTCCAGAAAATATGACGGTCAACGCCACATTGGCGGACGTAATGAGCTATGGAGTGTCGCAACTGTATAAACTGTGACTAGTTCGGTATATATAGGTATATTTTATTATGAAAACCAAACCGAACTAACAGAGGCTTGAACAAATCTACTGGAACTAGACCAAGAGAGCTGAGGCCCATTAATGCATTAATAGTCAATTATCTAAACTAGCCGCAACCCTGACGGGCCTACGCAGTGACAAACACATGCATATGCACAGGCACAATGCACAAGAATAACATTGGTTGGTATGTGTGTATACATAGATAGGCACACCACGCTGTGCATCGTGTATATAGGTATACCAACTAATAAATGATTGAACGAACTTCTGGTGAAGTTCAATCATTATTATACTAACAACTTGTTCGAGGGTATTTTACATTGTAGTACTCCGATTCTTCGCCAGATGACGCCACAGTTCTGAAATTTTTGCACAAAAAGTGCGAAAATCGAAATGGAGCGCTACCGCTCACTCGACTTTCTCTG